TATGGTGGCCAGTTTGACCAACTTACTCCTGGGAGTAGAGTTAAAAAAGGAAAAAGTGTGAAACAGAGGGTTGGCAGTATTTACCCTCTAGGCTCTAAACCTTGTGATGTCCTCAATTTTTAATAGGTGTTCTCAAAAACCATAAGAGCTCACTTCTCAGTTCTAGCAACCAGAGCTTTAAGAAAACACAAAATATCCTGAAGCTTAGGATGCAATCTGATGAGGCAGTGACACACCTGGTCTCCAGCTCAGAGAAACAGAATGGTATCGCTTGTTGTCCTCCCCTTTTCTTTTTCTTATTCCCTTCTCAGCCAGGAGAAGAGGAAGTGTTTTTGCCATGGACTGCAATGATAAAGTATGCCAAAGCATGCCCAGAAACTAAGAGGCTTGCAAGTATTATTGCATCTATTTCTTCCTCTCAGTTGCATTTGAAAGCAGTAATAATAGAAAAGGCATTTCCAGTGAGCACAATTTCCCATGCTACCTTATACCCTAAAATCATCAGGTTCTGTTTCAGGAATTTTCTTCTGAAGTTCATCAGTTCATCAGCTCCATTTGCAGAAGATTACCATGATTTCTAGAAAAACCTTGGACTATTTTACTGAACTTTTGGAGGTGAGATTTCTAGCATTTATTGTGACTTCTCCCTTGTTGCCTCAAGAACTTCTATAACACCCCTACAAGTATCCCCCCCTCAGCCACCCTCATTTACTTACAACTTTTGGACCTACTAGCCAGCACCCATATCATAGCACTATGGGATAATTCAGGTTGGAAATTACTTCAGGAAGGGATTATCCATCTCTACTTAGAAGTTGTCAGACCTCACCTGAAGTACTGTGCCTGGTCTGTCTGTCTCAATCAGTACAAGAAAGATATCTATCAACTAGAACATGTTCAGTGTAGGGCCATATCAGTGGCTGGGTGCTGGAGCACCTTCCTGGGAGGCAAGGTGGGGGAGATGAGATTGAGTACCCTGGTTTCAGGCAGACCCAACAGCAGTGCCCCACTACCTAATGGGAGGAACACAGAGGCAGGCTTTTCACAGTGCAGCATGGCAGGAGAACAACAGACAGCATGCATGAGCAAAACACCCATTTCATGAACTCCTTGGATGAGCCTGTGGCCAGAAGAACATACGTCATTTCATTTAGATGGCACTCCCTGGCCTGCACTTTCCTTTCAAGTCTACAAAACCATGCATATTAACATTAAAATATCTGTTACTAACATGATACATAAGTCATCCAAAATCCCCCCTCCCACCCACTAACAGCATCAAAGACTTTATTTCCGCTATTATTAGGTGTATTGTTTACAACAGCACACAAGACCACAGAGAGAGTTAAAAAGGTATTTGCCATCTCTCGTTAGCAATGTCAACACTGTCTACTGGCTAAAAGGATCTTTGGGTAAAAGGGTAAAATCTTCCATCTGGAAGGTTGAAAGTCTCTCTATGTTCCCTAAAGTCCCTGGTGCCTGATCCCTGTGTTGGAAGAAGTGTTGTCTGTACATCAGTTTCTCTTAACCGGAGGCAGGATCTGTTTTGTGAGTTCATTTTCCTCTTTTGCAAAGGGGCAGTTACAAGTCATTCATTTTACGTTGTTTATAATTTTCTGTTCTTTCAGAATAATTTTCAAAACACTTTGATTTTCTTTTCAGCTGTGAAAGAATAATCCAAGACCAAACATGTTATTCTTTGAAATTAACTCACTCACTAAAGCTGGTTTCCCTATAAAATTTACTGAAGTGGATGATTAAGAACTCTTCTCTACAAATAATGTTTCGTGCAATACAGCTGTAATGAGACTACAGCCTGATTATTTAAATGGATGAACATTTTTATTAACTGCAAAATCACTTCTGGCATGCTCTATATTTAATATTTTGTGAGACTTTGAAATCACAATAGTGGTTTCACACATGGTTAATGAGGTTAAGTCCAAAGGCTGGTTACTTTAGTCCTCAGAGGTGACTCTAGCCTCCATGTTCCTCTAGGGCACCAATTAAACCTAAAGGACAAGCTTTACCAAGAACCTGAATTTAGAGTTAGATTCCATACTCCCTGTTTTCATGCCCTGCACAGAGCAGATGCAGGGTTATTTGGTCCATGTGGATTTCTGATGCCCTTTAAAGAGCAAAAAGCCCACTTTAAATGGCAGTCATCCACACACACCTGCAAGTGGATGAGAGAAAAAAAAAAAAAAAGGAATATAGCACATGAAGAAATAAAATCAAGATTTTAAGGAAATAATAAGGAATACATAAAGTGAAATGATTCACTTTCATTGTATGTTCTGTATACCAAAGTCAAAAAAGTCTTCTTCCCTAGCCAGCATGAGGCAAGAGCAGAGCATTCATGAGAACCTCCTAGCCTAACATGAAATTACTCTCCAGCACTAGGCAAGCTTCAAGCTCAAGGCAAGCCAGAAGAAACAGGTTAGAGGGATCCAGAATGACGGCTCACAGGGAGTGATCCTGAGGCCTGGTAAAATAGTTCTTCAATTATCTACTACTCTGAATTGTTACAAAGGACCCCTAAGATGAGCACCTGTGCAGTCTAGATTCTGAAGACAGGTTACTTATTTGAGTACAGCTAGATGCTCCTACAGAGGTGGATCATCAGGCAGCATTAGTTTGAACCTGCATATGCATGGCACCATGCCCAACCTACCCTACCTCTCAGCCTACTTTCTCTCATTACAGCTCTGAGCTAGTTATGCTGCTCTCAGTGCTGGGCTTGCTATGGCAACAGACTGTGAAACACAGTCTAGCCAAAGCCAAGTGTGCTACTGTACAAAGCCCATACGCCCAGAAGCACTTTCATTGTTTGCCTCCAGACTGTGACACCTTAGAGGTTGGCAGGCAATTGTGGTTTGAATGTTTTACACTAGAGAACAGTCAAAGAGAAAGAAAAATGGCTGACAGTACAAGAGAGCTGTACTGAGAGTCAGATTTGTGCTTTTTGTTCAGGTAATGATAACAGTGAACCATAATGATACCCATGAAGGAGCTGTGTGATGATCCCTATTAATTCCAATGGGTGGTTGTTACAGTGGTGGTGTCTGCCGTCCTGCAAAGAGAGATGCAACCAGACTGGAGAAGGAGAGGCCTTTCTATGAGATCATTTTAAGCCCTGCTGATTGGAGGAGAAGCATGAAGTGTTTAGAGTGGCACCTTTTCCTTGACTTTGACCTTACACAGAACCAGGGCCCCTCAGAAATATCCCACTCAGAAAGAAACTTTCTCATATTTCCATGTTTTTTTACCTAGTTTTGTGCAAATGACCTTTTTTTTCTTCCCAGATTCTCCATCTTACGGAACACGAAAGGGAAAAGATTATTTGGCCCTGAGAGAGCTGCACTCTGCAACAGTTAGCTGAAAGGTCAAGTGTGGTATTTTGGAGGCCAGGAAGTCCTACATAACTGCTGAACAAAACTGATTTTTGTAGTAAGTGTAGTGAGACAGTGGAACAGGCTGCCCAGAGAGGTTGTGGATCCCCCATACCTGAAAGTGTTCAAAGTCAGATTAGATAGGGCTATGAGCAACCTGATCTAGTGGAAGGTGTCCCTGCTCATAGCAAGGGGGAGTGGACTAGGTGATCTTTGAAGGTCCTTTTCAACCCAAACCATTCTATTATTCTGTGATTTATGAAACAGTATTTCAGCCTCCCAGGTAACAAACCAGAGGGTTTTCAATAAACATAAGCCGTGTTCATTTCCTCAGTATTAACTGGTCCAGGGTACAAATGTACTGAATGTACCTCTGCACCTCTCTCTTGTATCTCTTGTAGAGAGATAAACAAATAGATGATGTTTGAAGTTTAAAGTGCAGAGATTTCATAAGGACCTTTTCCTATGGCAGAATAGCACCACTAAAACTTTTAAACTACGGTTTAAAAAAATAAACCCCAAAACAATTACCCAGTTGAGCTCTTAAAAGCATCAACAGAGACTGTCATTTGCTAACTATCGCTTTTACCTTTTCTATTAACTTCAGAAAAATTACATAAAGGACCAACTTTTTCTCCATTTGCTAACACATGAGATGGTGCTAGATAAGAGCCCACGTCAGGAGATGGAGGAGAGACTGGAGAAAGGGAAAGGGAAAGGGAGGGGGAAAGAGGAGAAAAACTTAGAGACAAGCTGGGAGGCTTTTTGCTTTTTTTCTACTGGACCCTGATCTGGCTTTTTTTGAACACAATTGGAGAAAGCCACATAAAAGCAAGAGATAACAAATGCAGGCTCTGTTTCTGGTACAACTCTCTGCTGAAGAATGACAGATGCATGTATAACGTTATCACTCACAGATGTATACAAGCATCAGGTTGTTTAAAGTTTTTCTTTTAGCTGCCTTTTTGGCCACAGGCTTAGAATAACATTGCAAAGGATTCAAGCTTAGTCAGCTGAACCAGACTTCCATTAAAGAGAAGGCATAAACAACCAGATAAGAAAAGATAAGAATCAAGAAAAGGAAGTCGGAAAAATAAGTTATATTCAGGAAATACACAGTGGATGTGATCTAATCAGGTTCTGGCTGGCTGAGCAGGTGACACCTCTGTGCTTCTGAAGGCGCAGGGTTGTCACCATGGGTCCCACAACCCTAACGGTGGGCATGTGGCAGTCACTAGAGTAAAGCTTGTTCCTTCCAGTCCATCTGCTCTCCTGTCATTGATATTTACAGCCCCACAAATATGGATAGGCCCAGCCGCCCATGCTTTCATTATTAGACCCAGCATGCAGCACATAAAATTTTGCTCATTAATTCCCAATTTCACATTTGTCTTATTTATCAAACATAGCCTTTGGGGGATAGCAATGAGAATCTTGGGTTTTGATAATCTCAGCTTTTTCTCTTTAACCCTTTCTTTGCTTGTATGAACTATTTTAGATAATGGCTTGACATTGTTGTCATGGTTGTGACTTGGAATAGAAACCTTTCATCACTATGCTCTCACCTTCTTTAAGTGATCTGGAGACTTCAGTTCTTCTTAGAGATAGCAAAACATAAAACAGAAGAGGGGTTGCTAAAGAAGCACTGCTATGTTTCCCTAAACTAAATCATCAGTGCCAGCATGCCCTCATTCCTATACTGTGAGCCTTCACTTACCTCTTTCTTTCACTTACCTTCTTTCTTTTACCTTCCTTCTGGAATCAGTAAATACTATTTTTCATTGGTTCAACATTAAAAAGATTTAGAGGAGAGGAATGTAATAAACCCTCGTCAACATGGGTTTAGGGAAATAGCTCTTGTCAAGTGAACCTGAATTACTTCTAAACTGATATTACAACTTTGTTTAAGTGTGTCATATATCCACAATTATCTTTGACTTTTATAGGTCTGCTGAATTAATACAACATTACACTGATCTAAAAATTGGCACTATATAACATAACTGCAATAACATAGAAAGTTAACTCTATTCATGGATAACATTGCCAATAGAGTACCACCATTTGCACAGTGTTAACATGGCAGAAAGAAAAAGATATTTCAATAGAATATGCAAATTTAATTCTACTCATGATCCCTTTATTTTCTCAGTTTCGTCTCATGGACTGTTAAGCACAACCTCATCGGGTATGTTCAAAGCTTGGACAGCATACTCCAGACCATGCTTTTCTGCTGTTACCCTTCCAGGACACGGTGTTGGGTATCCATGGCAAGGTTTTGGCAGAGAGGGATGCTGCAGGGGTGGCCTATGTGAGATGAGGCCAGGGCCTGCCCCTGTCCTGTGCCAGACAGAGGCAGTTCCAGCCACCCTGAACAGACCCACCACAGGCACAGCTGAGCCCCTCAGCCAACATGCTGCCCCCCACCCCCGTGATAACATTGTTTAAGAAAGGGGAGGAAATACCAGACAGGCAGAGGAGGAGGGAACAAAATTATGAGAAATAGCTGAGGAGACAACAAATGTCTTCATCCTGATCCTTACCCATGAGCTCGCTCACTCCTGTTATTCCTATTTCCCCATGGCTGAGGGTGCTGGCTGAGCAGCTGGGTGGAGTTTGACTGCTAGCCAGGGCCAACTCCCCACACACATTTTGACCATTACAGTATCAGTGTGAGAAAGATGCCTGAGGAGCAGCTCTGCATGTTTAGGGGTAACCAAGGCAAGATTATCCTTTTCTGCCTTGTTCTTTCCTGGAGGTGCAGCAGAATGTGCAGTGTATGGTCTCTTTCTCAGCATGCAGGTGAAGGGAGGCTAGGAACAACACTCACAAACTAAATTCTCAGCACGCTACTGGCCAGGACCAAGAAATACTCCTCCACATAATTCTTGGTCATTATTGAGGCATTAGCATACCACTCTCAAGAGGCAAACTGCACGAGTTGATCCAGTTTTGGCAGACAAGAGTTTAATGGCATAGGCATAGCCTGTTTCCTGCCAGTTGATCTGTGTCAGAGACCAATACTGGACACACTGGGTTTGCCATCAATGACATACCCAAGTTGTTCTCAGGAATTAGTCAAGGTGAACAAACATGTATTTGTATTTATAGGGGTAATAGTTAGCTACACCCTCACCTGGCATTAACTCAAGGCAATGGAATGAAACTGATTTATACCCACTTATTTTGGACTCTTGTGGAAATACTGTACCCCTTTCTAAGCTCCAGCCCCACAAACCAGTGCCAATGGTGAAACATTAATTTTTAGGCTTAAAATTCAGAAGTTTAATAAAAAGAAAACCTTCGTGTTTTATTTTTTGATAAGTATCATAACTTCAGCCTCTTCCCTAATTCCTTTTTTTTTTCTGTCTTGACCAAATTACTGAAGTGCCCACCTGGAAGACCCTGGGAATGCTGCATTCAGTGTTAGGCTTCAGAAGATTTCATCACTCTCTAAAAGCTTTTTCAGAAGATTTTCACCCTGATATAAGGTAGTATTGAAAGGCCAACCATTCAAACCTAGTCAGAGAAGACACAGCTATTCCTTGGAACTAATCCTGGCTCTTGAATGTTAATATTCTTGGGAAATTTTAATGTTTCTTGTCAATCTCAATGAGTCATTTAATTGTCAACTTAAAATTTGTTTACTTTCAGAGTAAAAATTTGATTTATTATAACTATGCTGAGTAAGAATCAATGCATGTATTTGTGGTATAAAATTTTAAATGCTGCAACGCATTGAGATATTGAGACGGATCACACATGGTTGTTTAAAAAGACACTTCTGGCATGGGTACAATTTAAACAGTATATGCAAATAAGCAGTTGTAAGTAATCAAAAGAGAATTCTCTACTAATAAAAGCTAATATTTATTATTGTTTCTATCACCATTCCTGGAGCCTGAAGTTGCAAAACTAGATTTCCTAATTTGACTTATTAATGAATAAATGAAAAGAACCCAAACATCTTTCTTATTTAATCTCCTTTTTTTCCCCCTCAAAATTAATAAGGTCAACTTTGCTCCCATATTCCACATTTCTTATCCCAACTGAGCAGCTTATTGTACCACCGATGGAATGCAACAGATTGCGAAGGAATCAAGGAGACGTTTGAAAATAGATTTGTTCAGCCATACACTGCAAACAGCACATCTGTTATTGACAGTGAAAATAGAGCCTGCAAGGAGTTAGTGCTAAATATAATTCAGACTCAGGAACTGCATTCTTGCCTAGATTTTACCTTCTTATTTTGCTGAGGTAAAATTGCCTCCGCTTCAATACTACTGCCCTAAGCAGACACAAAGAGCCTGTTTTAAAGGTCTCTAGGCAATGAAAGACACCATTCAAAACCATATATTACAAGCTCATTGCACATCATGCTTGCGACACCTTCAAAATGTGAAAAATCTTTGTCGAAAGAACAGAGATTGCAGTGAGAACAGCTCAAACTGTTGGGTCATCAAGGCTGTCAAGTCTCAGTGGACATGCCTTATTTTTTCACCTAGAAAAGTTACATTAGAAGAAACTGAGCATTTTAGCACTTCTCTGATCTCTAGGGAGTTCAGCTTTCTGTGCAACTTGCGTGTAAATTATCTTGAAGCAACCTGGGAATTGACAGACCCCTTCATACGCATCCAAGAAACCTCTTGAAAGAGCTACAGCAACCTTGGGAAATATCAGAATTCAAGCTATCCGTAACAGCATTAATTTGACCCCTGGGATTTAGTCCTAATTCGTATTGCCTAACTTATCTAAAAGTTTCTCTCCAGCCTATCTACTCTCCTACAGTCCCAACACAAATGGGGGACGAAGGATGAGCTTGTCCAGAAGGGGTGACAGAGATCCATAGTGGGAAGATAAGGATGAAAAGTGTAATCTATTACACTAGACACCAGTTTCTGTACAGCTACAGTTAGGTAAATCATTTGCACCTTATGTATACAGGCATTTTGAACTCTTAATATTCACATTCCACATATTTCATATTTGTATTTTTTCCACAGACCCTGCTGCTTCCAGAATGCACAGCCTTTGCTGAACAGACACCTATCAACGTATTTCCCTAATCCGTTCAGAAAACGCATTTCCTGCCCAGGCTTGCTTGGCTGCAGATCATCTGAACCCACACTGAGTTGGGTTGGTCCCATTCCCATTACAGGGACTGTTGGCAATTTTTAGGGGAGAAGCCAGTAACTCATGTCAAGTGTTCAGCAACCTGCTAATGGAAGGCAGAGCTCTTGTCTTCAGCCTGCAGCAGCCGTCACAGTTTACCAGCTGATGGCAGGATGCTGTTCCCTACCACAAACATCCAAGTGTCCAGTGAAAAGCAGCACTGCAACAAACACCCCTGAGAGAAGGCTGAATACAGGCCAGCAGCTGGGAATGTTTTGTCCTCCCAGAAGCCCATAACTGGCTGGGTGAATGTCTGCACAGCCACCTGTAGCAGGTTGCTCTGATTCTGTGGGTATTAGACAGAGGACTTAAGTCACCTGTTTGGCTTACATTTGTCCACAGTTCTCCACCAGTACTGGCCTAGCACAGATCTCCAGACCTACTAAGACCTGGAGGAGGCATTTTTTATTATTAAAAAAATTAGATTTCTTTAGAATGTAAATGAACTGAAACCACAGCCAGCCTTCAAAGAGAAAGCAGGGTAATTACATTGCTACAAGGCAGTAGTTGAATTACTGGTGCAAAGGAGTACTCGTACATGTAACTATCCCAAAGGTAATGTTATTATCAGGTTATATGTGATGCAGATGCTATTGCTTCCCAGGCTTACTGTATCCTCCTTTAATATAAATACACTCCTTGTGTTCCTGTTTTCACTGACTTATTTACATCAGGATTTTTAGTCACTGCAGAAATGAATCACCTGCAAACTAAATACAATTCCCAAGGTGAAGGGATGGAGAAAGAGGCTTTCCAGAGCATCTTGTGAAGCAGAACACTTCTCCCCTTCCCACAGCTAAATTTTATTTAAAATTGGCAGTTAAATCGATATTGTGAGATCTTTCCAACCTTAAGCATCACTTGCTTTAATGCACAAACTGAAAGTTTCATGGGAGTAATGTTCCTGCCATCTCTCTCATTTCTAGTCTTGAATGCACTTCTGTCAGGTAAACAAGCATCACCTATTTTCTTCTGTAATGTATCTGTAGTAGCTGATAATTCTCTCTTCTACTACTTACCATACATAGAATTTTTAGGATTAGAGAATCATAGAATCACCTAGGTTGGAAAGGACTTTCAAGACCACCAAGTCCAACGGCTACCCCAGGACTGCCAAGTCCACCACTAAACCATGTCACTGAGGGCCTCATCTACAGAGGTTTTAAACACTTTCCAGGGACAGTTACTCCACCACTTCCCTGGGCAGCCTGTTCCAATGCCTGACTACACTTTCAATGAAGTTTTTTCTAATATCCAGTCCAAACCTTCGCTGGTCCAGCTTGAGGCCGTTACTTCTTGTCCTATCACTTGTTACTTGGGAAAAGAGACCAGCCACCTCCTCATTCCACCTGCCTTTCAGGTAGCTGTAGAGAGCTACGGGAAAATACCTGTTGTAAAAATAACACAGACCAGAATTATTAGGGGAAAAGAGGGTTAAGGTATCTGTTTTTCTCCATCTGGTAAGCTTTTATCCATGTATTGTTGTCCTGGGTTCGGCAGTAGCAGTCATTTTTCTCCTTCTTAGTAACTGGCGCAGTGCTGTGTTTTTGACTTTCAGCCTGGGAACAGCGCTGATAACACCGAAGATTTTAGTTGTTGCTAAGTAATGTTTACTCTGACCAAGGACTTTCTGAGTCTCATGTTCTGCCAGGGAGGAGGGGAAGCCGGAAGATAGCAGAGACAGGACACCTGACCCAAACTAGCCAAAGAGGTATTCCATACCACAGCACGTCATGCCCAGTATATAAACTGGGGGCAGTTACCTGGAAGGGCTAGATCACTGCTCAGGTCAGGCTGGGTATCGGTGGGTGGTGAGTGGTTGTCTTCTCTTTCCTTCTTATTTCCCTTATCATTATTATTATTGGTGGCAGAGTAGTGATTTGTGTTATACCTTTGTTACAGGACTGCTCTTATCTCAATCTGTGGGAGTTACATTCTTTCGATTCTCCTCCCCAACTCTCTGGGAGCAGGCGGGAGGAAGAGGGGGGAGTGAGCGAGAGGCTACATGGTTATGAGTTACTGACTGGAATTAAACCACGACAATTGTGATCTCCCAAATTTCTTCAAACTGCCCTATTTCTTTTTCTGAATGGCAAAATTCACAAAAATGTTGGACAAGAGCTATCATATCTACCCAGATAAAACAAAATGCAGAACAAGATACTGAGTAGAGACTTTAACCATTTTCTACTATGCCTGTCATCTCTAGTTTGAATTTTTGGATCAATAAAAATCATTTTGCTCTCTATTCAGTTTCTCTGGGGAGAAAAAAAAAATCTTAAGTAAGTGTTTATCATGAGCTCAGACAAAAAGTAAAGACATCTCGGGTAGGGTGCTTATGGGGACGGTTTAATCATATGAACAACATGGATCAAAGGTTTGTCACCACTAAAAGGTAAGAAGCTTTTTTCCTCCTCTACTTGTCTGTTTGCTCCCTTCAGCTTTGTTCCTTCCTTTCTTCTCTGCCTCCCTCCTTTGCTCCAGCTACGGGGTTCATCTGAGTGCCAGGTTTTCATAGCTCATTTCCATGCCACTGTATCAACTGGGAGATAAGCTGTTACCACAAGAATAATTTTATTCCATATTGGGCAATACTGCATCACTTACAATATCTGTTACACAGCTCTCAACGCTGGCATGCTAGGTAGGCAAATCAATCTGTCATCTTAAAATGGTTACTGCTTTATTCCCTTTTCTTTCTGTTTAAATGTTTGTTTCTCTGGATGCTTTCAGCGCATACTTCAGAGCTTGCTTTGGTGCTGGGCTCACTGCAACAGCAGAACCATGACCATTTAACCAAGGCAATTAAATTGGGTACATGTCTTCCTTTGCTAAAAATAGAATCAACGGGGGTAAAACCAGGCAGGTTCAAACAGTGATTCAGCCTATGTACTACCTGACTTGCACTGCAAATGGCTCTTCCCCTTTTGTCACAGCGGGAACCCACAGCAGCTGTACTCCTGTAAGACATCTACAGCAAGCTCCCAAGTTCACCAGGATGAATCTCAGCACGTACCTGCAATGAGACGAAACAGTTTTGAAGGCTGAAGCAATGGCACATGGTAGCTGGCAACCTGATTTTGCCACAGCTATGCCTGAGCTATCAGTCTTATCCCTGAAGCACTCGTTTCATTTTCTCAACAGCTTTTTGAAATAGATTGGATGGGAAGGAATACTTTTTAAAAGTCTGGATCAGCAGACATTTTATTGGGCTTTTATTAATAATGGGAAAGGATTGGAAGCAATTGTCGTAAGCTCAACATACTGCCTGTCATGTGTTTGAATGGAGCACTGATTTCGGACAAGCTCACACTGCTCATCTATACACCATCTAGATCCTTCTATTTCCTCAAGGATTTTCTTAGGAGAGGAAAAGAGTAACATGCACCTGGCAACATTGTTTAGATTCACCTGTCAAGTTAGGGATAACAGAGCAGATGCAGAGATATGAATCGCTATGTCCAGAAGGTATATGCCAGCGTGTTGTGCAAACCTCAGCTAGCTCCTCTTGCCCTGCAGATGAACCCTGAGTCACATACAGGTCAAATGCTGTGTCCCTAAACAACCTGTGACACTGCATTGGTGGCTGGGCTTCCAGACAAGGTTGTGCTTTTAAATGCAAATGCAAACCTTTCCTGAAGCAGAAAGGCAACTGCCAACAAGCTATTATTTTCTCCCATTTTTCATGCCGCGAACACTGATTTGTCATTGTTTGTTTCTTAAGACCATTGTGAGGACAAGTAGAACTGGAACTGGGAGATCTGGTGTATCCCATGCTGGCTAGAGTCACCTGGGATCAACCAGGCATGCCAGTACAGAAGCAGCTCCTTGTTAATGAGGTGAACTGCCATCAAGCATGTGCATCGTGTGAAAACCTCCAGGCCTAGAAGAGTCCAGAAAGCAGCACTGAGCGTTGTTGCTGAATACTTCCAGGGCAGGAAGA